AAGGGGTTTTTGTGCTTTTTTTTTTTTTTTTTTTTTTTTTTTCATTTTTTCATTTTTCTGTTTTTTGGAGGGACGTTTTTTGTTTTTTGGAATATAAAGTTAGATTATAAAAACAAAAGTGCACACAGCTTCTGGTGAAATTTAAACTAGGCTTATACCATAATGGTGTCTTTCCAGGTTTTTCTCACTTCACCCCCCTCTCTTTCTCTGTATTCTTCCATCTCTGCAGCATTGCAAGCATTTTAGAATAAAATTACAGACTTGAACACCAGATGGTGTTCTCAACAGAACTGTGACGTGTATGCTAATCCAAAATAATAGCAGCAAAAGAAATCAACCCATAGATTGAAGTTTAAGTTCCTTTTAAAAAAAAAAAAAAAAAATCCTCAAATTCCCATTTGTTTCCACGTTGAACAGTACTAGCTTTGTTTTCTTTTAGTCTCTGCAACAGAAAATGTTTCAAGGGAAATACTACACCAGGCCTCTGGTTTATCCTAAGAGTTAACCCCAGTAGGGACTTTTTTATTGATTGTTGAGGATTTTCAAAAATTTTTCAAGCTGTAGTCTTTTCAAACACATCTGCACATTACAATAAGACACACGGTTCAATAAAGCATTTTCAAGACTGTTGTTCAGTTGATTTTCTTTGTTGTTGGTATATTATCTAGTTTCAGTCCAGAATTTCTTTTGCAGCTGTCTTTCATTCCCCACTGTATGCAAAGTTAGTTCATGTAGAAATCCTGGGTGATTTACATAAACACACTTTAAAATGTCGCATTTTGACAGGTGATTAAACATGTCATCTTAACCTCTTCACAGGTAGGTGAATTAAACTTTCCAGGAAAAAAAAAAAAAATTTTAAAAGCTCTTCTCAGTGAATTTTTGGAATCTGTATATGGCTGGTCTGTTGAGGACGTTTGCATTGCATGATTTGCAAACTCTACTCCACGTACATACAGCACTTGAAGAGGCTGCTAACCTTTGCTGTCCATCTTCATTAAAATATGAATATATGCTGACCTAAAATTAAGTTTAGGTATCACATTAAATCCTCTAGAAATGAAAAGTGGTTTAGATTTTCTTAGTTTAGAAATAATGCCAAAGTGTTTATTCTAGCGTTCCGCTAATTTGTATTTGCAGGAAAGTGTTCTTTCTTCACAGAGGTAAATTGCTCAGAATTTTATTTTGGGTGTTTCCAAAATGTGTTTATCTTCAAGGTGCTCTGGACTATAATGAAAAGGGTGTTTGAAGACTCGGAGAGAGCCTGTAGGGGCTGTGGCATCATTGCTGTGTAAAGACCATGCTTTCAGAAAAGGGAGCTTAAGTAGTTGCCACAGCCAGAACTCGGCTCGGAGTTCAATGAAACCTCTGTGGGTGTACATCAGAAATTTGGTTGTCATGAACTCTTGGTGCAGCTGATGGGAAGCCTCACAGAAATTTTCATGAGGAGCAGGTGCTCTCCCTTGATGTGCAAGTTCACAGCTGGGCAGCAGTGGCTTGCTCCTGCTTGCCTGCATCCGTGTTGGCCAAGGCCTGTTGTAGGCTGCCCGTCACCTGTCTGACCAGTGGTGTCGCCCTTTGCCGAGCTGGGTGTTGTGCCTGGGTGCTGCTGCACTTGAGTCTGATGCAGAGGCATGGGGCACCCCGTGAATGTGGGGCTGCTAGTCATGTGTGAAGGTGCCAGCCGGGTTCTGCTGGGTCTCTTGCTTGCGCTCTGATCTGACACTGCCAGATTTCAGTGCAATGCTGGTCTTCAGCTAAAACAGCTTGCAAAAGAGAGTCCTTTTGCGAGGAGAGAAGCAGAAGGGTGTGTTTTACTTACCAATTTATTTAACAGTTGAAGGGATATGCAGACTTGCTGGAAGGCGTTGGGGAACACATCCCACTTGGGTGTCTGTGAAAACTTACCTTTTGATAAGAGCATGGTGCAATTTCGATTGTAACTCTAGTGATCTGCTTTAATAAGGTTTTTTTTTTTGCTATCTGCTTGGGACAAAGGCAAAGTAAGACATACAAGGTGATGCGATAAATGGAATGAAAACTGGATTTTGACTTCCATCCAACTCTCATTTGATTTGGCAGATTTATGACTGCCTGAACCCCGTCCCTGGGATGTTCATGCAGGTTAGTTCCACCTTGTATTCAGGCAGACTTTCAGTCTTGGTTGTAGCCATGCTGCTGGAGCTTGTCAGAAGTACTGAACTTCAGCAGAAAGCCTTAAAACTGTCACTACTTCCAACTAGTAGTTTCTTTTGGAAATAAAGTTTTGCTCTTAGCCATCTCACAGAAGCTGGTCAGTTCTCTCATTTCTGTAATCAGTTGTTAACCTCTGCCAGCTTCATCTGCTGGAGTTTCTTTCCTTCCTCACACACTATCGCTGGCGAGAGTATGAGTTTTGATCTGGTATGTTCCCGTTTGGGGTGGGAACACACGCTGCAGCAGGAAAGGCTGGTCTTTCCCATAAGAAATAGCTCATCTGGAAAACGAATGGAAAAGAACGTAGCACCGTGTTTGGATGGAATTTAGGTCTTTCTTGGAAATGCGTGTTTGCAAACTAAGCATGGGCTGTGCTTGGCAGTGTAGCTCCAGCAAGCACCAGTAGTGTTTGTTTGTTTCACAGATCTTGCACAGATGGGACCAGCACAGCTGTTTATCTGACTGACTTGCAGTGAGGCTGGAAGTGGCAGCCTGGGATGGCTCTCTAGACAATGATGAAGAGTCAGCCTTACTCTTCCCCATGAGTCAGGGGCTTTAAAAACTGAGAAATGCATACATATGTGGAGCCTTGGTTTTTGGGCAAAGCTACTGTGCCCACACATCACCTGTGAGCACAAGTCCACACCTATGAAGAAGGCTTTGCAAACCAAGCTCAGCAGTGGGTGGCGTCTTTCAAATACAGACAGCACTATAGGTGTGGGAGCTTCACCCTCAGCTCTGTGCACAAACATTTAGGTGCCGGGCCTGGGGCTGAGGGCATGACAGAGAGTTAGTGGAGGCAAAGAAACAGAAAAAGAAAATACAAAAGGGGGAAGAAAAAAAAAAAACCAGCACAGATGCTAGTGTGGAAGAAGACAAGGAGGAGCTCACCTAACGAACACAGTCTTTTTCACAGGGTGGCAATCAATCACGTCCAACAAGTAATCTTATGTAGCAGTGTCTCAGAGCCTGCACGTGGGAGGTTATGTGGCTAAAAGCACCTACAACTCAAGGCTAAAAGTGTGGCCTCAGTAGCTTGGCTGTGGGGTGTGGGCAAAGCACGGGTGGAAGACAACCTGCTGCAGCATTGCACAGGTGACAGCACTGCATGACAGCACTTGGGGAAGGGCAGCAGAGGGGCGCAGCAGCTTGCCACAGGGGAGAGAGCCGCTTCCTGCATTTACCGTCATGCAGCATGGGTGCCCTGTCGTGCATCCACTCACTTACTTATGGGTTGGGCTGCTGCATCCTGCCAAGCTGCCTGTGTGACCCTTGGACTCCCTGCTCCACTCCGCCGGCGTGTGCATCCTCCGCCCCCCCCCCCCCCCCCC